CAACAAATACCATCATTGTGGTGAAGCCTGCTGGGTATGAAATGGATTTGAAGTGAAGTGCCTCCGCGTTTCATGGGAATATAAAGAGGTTAGACTGGACTGCTGGGAATCATTTTCTTTGCTGCAGCATTTTGGTTGTTAAACTGGTTTGTCCTTCAAGTTTCTCTCATATTTTTGTCTCTAATCTCGGTCAAATCCTTATATGTGATGGGAAACTGAAAAATTACAAGTACGTTTATGAAGAAATGCAACTGCAGAACTCGCCAGAGATAAAACGGGTAAGATTTAACAAATAGGCGGCCAATTTCTCCTGCTGTTCAAAAATTGGGTCAGGTTCCAAAAATGTAAAAAACTACACATCCCAAAATGCAACCCATCGTGCTTTTTCCCCCTGCATGTTAAAGGCCCTTGCCTTTCACAAGATGCAAGTAAGATGTGTGTTTTGGTAAGTGTAATATAAGGGGCAGTACTTCAAAACTGCAGATCCACCAGCTGATCTCTAATACACAGACTCTGGCTTTAAATTTGCAAAAAAATGTCAGCACAGTTGGTATTTTGGCTTCACTTTTTTATAATGGGAGGAGGTGGAGAAACGTCAATTTTTATAAAGTCAAGTCAGACTCTTACATACACATAGGTGTGGACAATCATAGGCCCCCAAAAGGCTCATAATGGGTAAATGCTTAACCTTTTTATAAATGTTATTTACCATGGGCAGTTGGGATACATGTAACCAAACTTATGATGTATCCATTCCTATTCATTTGGCCTCCAGGTCAACATTTTTCATATCACTGCTCTGTTTCTCTCTGTGTCTTGACAGACTGAGATCATCTGTTCTGTCTGTCTCTGTCTGAGCAGTGGCATGCGGCTCCACCTTTTTGTAATGAGAGGCTGAGTGACAGAGCAGCACCAGAGAACACCTGTCAGACAGCAAACAACCTGAGCCACAGAAAACAGTGTTAATGAAGAGGAAAATTTACATCAATGCCAACATCAAATGTGTTTACTAAAGTTGGCACCGAGGGAGTGCGGCGGAGGAGGGAGCATAGAAGAGCAGGAGCAAGTGTGTGTTGACAGAAAGTCTTAGTTTTGATTTAATTTGAGCTGGTGAACGCCTTATATCGTGTACAATAATGTAAGAAACCACATAACACAGATCATGTTTCTAAAAAAAACTTTCCCCACTTTTAAACAGCAGCCAGCAGATTTCCACAACACACGAACCCACACCTACACACACACACCCACTCTCACTTTTTGCTCTCCTGTTGCTGCCTGGACACTTGATTGCTCGCTGGGGCCTTTTATCAAATGATTCATGCCTCTTTGACAACATGGCACTCCAAATGTGCTTTCATTAAGGCAATTAAGCCCAAGGCCCTTGAACTACTTTGACAAGTCCCAACTCGTCCAGTTTAAACGCAAATGTGACTTGGACTGGCAGATGGGACCATTGAAAGGGGGCCAATACATGAACATAATTTGATTTGGCCCATATCAGTCTATCTCACTGCCAACAAATTGTAAAGAGAAGGCTGCATGTATTGATGCATCAATGATTGATTTTGGCTCCTGGCGGAATCATAAAATATACATAATCACGTTAGTTTACTGTTGGGTGTGCAGCTGCAACTTTGTCAGATAGTTCTTTTGGTTTGGGTTGGTGTGAATGCTCAAATGAAGTCTGATGTGGACCAAAGAACCAAACTCGGGTCCGCTTAAAAACAATGTCTAGGTTCGCTTCCAAGTATATTAGAGTTCCGTTTGCCATAGGTGAGAACAATGATCAGGACCAAACAAGGGAAGTAAACCAAAATGCAGTGCATTGTGGGTATCAAATAGCTTCACAGAGCATGGCTAATGTTAGCATTGCTAACAACAGTCGCCTTCAGTTGCCCATAAACTTGCAAATGTGTGTGCCTGTGTTAAACTTGAACCCTGAATTGAGTCCACCAAACTTTATATATGAAAGCGACCTTAATGTCATTCATTACGCACAAACAGTAAAGTTTGTACCAGATAATTAATCTTTTCTCACTTATGGGAACCTGGGAATAGCTTTCAATTGATTGGTTGCTTCAATATTGGAATATTGCAGCCAAGTGTACTTGTTGGGAATTTAACCTCGGGTGAGAATTGTGCTTTTGTCACATGCAGGAGTCTGTGAGGGGAGTGCCGAGGGGAAATAAAATCAAGCTATGTCCTCACCTCAGTTGCCCTGCTAAGCTTTTTAATTCATTCAAGGAAAAAGAGAACATGTATTGGTTTTAAAAAAAACATTTTAATTTGACCAATTTACTGTGTTTATGATTGATGCATAATTTTAAGTGTGTCCTTAGACATCATAAGGTCAGCCAGTTTTTATTTTCAATGCAGATACGCTGATTAAAGAATGCCCTAAACAGTGTAGAGTTGAGCTAAGTAAAGGCTGATAAAATGTGTTAATTTGGTATTTTTTGTAGCTGCCCAACCTGATAAATCATACATGCAGTTTCTTTCACGTCATGTCTTCCTGACTCTTATCGCACCGCTTCCTCCAAAAGTCTGTGCACAAAGATATGGGGTACAGTCAAGGTTGGGGAAAAAACAACACAGCACAGTCTGTATCAACATGTATATGAATAGTTATCTGTGTAGATTTCAGTTTTTCATCTTCAGCACTGGAACCAAAGCTGATAACAAAGTATGGTTTGCTCAAGCTGCCCAGTCATCGTAACTAGGAGGGCTGAACAAATACAGGTTTGCAGTCGGTCTAATTGTCATTTTGGTGCATGTAATTATTGTTGTCTGCAAACGCACTTGTGAGCTGGCAAGTCTTTGAATTGTTGCTGTGCTGCAGAAAGAAGAGGGTAAACATTACCTGAGTCTGCAGCCTCACTTAAAGGCACCCTGCAGGGAGGAAAGCACTTTGTTTGTTGGAAAGAATTTTGACTGCAAATTCTTTCCATTAATTTCCAAAGAATACCTAAATCGGTACTATGAATACTCAGTGCCATTGGGGTGGCTGTGGCTCAGTTGGTAGAGTTGGTCGTCTCTCATCCTGAAGGTTGAGGGTTTGATCCCCGGCTCCTGCATGTGTCCTTGGGCAAGACACTTAACCCCAAGTTGCTCCTGCTGCATCATCTGCAGCGTATGGATGTATATGAATGGGATTAATCAACGCCGATGGACATTTTACATAGCAGCCTCTACCATCAGTGAGTGAATGGTTAGGTGTGACCTGCGGTGCAAAAAGCACTGAGTAGAAAGAAGAGAATAGTGCTACACAAGCTCTAGTCCATTTAGCATTGCATTTAAGAGAATGTCACTGTCTTTCTGAACATATGAAGTGTTTCTGAGGCTGTCACAATTTCTCAAGAATTTGAATTTCTCAATCGGTTGCTTCAAACTTGTTTTCATCCCTAAGCTGCCCTTAAAGCAAAAGGCATTGGGAAAAAAAACTACAAAGAGATCAAATATAAAAAAAATTAAAAAAAAACGCTGTCAAAATGTCCACCTGTTTGAGAACTACAGGTGCTTCCATATGTCATTCAGTAAAGTGATGATGTTTATCTGTTAAAAACGGTTATGGTAGAAGGACAACACTAATAAACTGTAATATGGAGGTCTATATACAAAGCAATTGTTCAAACACAGAGCACAATAGCCAGCATCTGTGGAAGGTAAAAAATTGGTCAATTAATTGAAAATGTATGTTGCACATTTTTTTTAGCATGGGCCTACCCAGAAGAGTAATCCTAAAATGCCCACTAATTTAAAACTCTGGTGCTTATATGCATGTTAGAGAAGATTCACACTCACAACAGGATATCATGCAGATTATAATGTGAGGGGAGAATTAGGTCAACATTGACCTCTGCCCTCTGTGGTCTAAGTCCAGCGCTAGTCTGGTTGTAGCTGAATGCTCTGTAACGGCCCTGTGCTTCCTCGTCTGTCAACACCCACAGGCTTCAGAGCGCAGCGAGGAGCAGCACTGTCGGACAGCTGGAGTCGCGAGACCAAGGAGTACTTGCTGCATTTGGAAAATTGAGAAGCCTTGCGTATCTTCTGCAGAGTGCTCCAGCCCTCCAGAGGTGGGACGGAGCTGAGGCGCAGTATGGTGGAGCCAGTGGAAGCACACACATTAACAAAAGTAAAAAATCTAGTAATCTGCTCTGCTGCCGTGGGGGAGTGGAGAGGAGCCTAACATGCATTTGGTGGATGTGAGCAGTTACACTGTCAATAAGAACAGGTGGACCCCAGATGCCCCCAGATGTCCTCAGCTCTGAATACAGAATAATGACTCTTTGGATCAAATCGTCTGAATCCTCTGCAACTCTGTTATTCAACATTCCTTCCCTTAATATGCCCAACATCTTAAGACCTGATTTGCATTAGAATCTCAGTCCCACAAAATGCCTCTTTTTATTCCTGCTTGGTGCGTGCCTGATGGTGAAAAAGAACATGCTAGAAGCAACGTAATCATCCCCCATTCCATCAACAAGTGTGAGGCACCGGTGCAACATTGTTCACATTGTAAGATCTCTGGCCTTTCATGCTTGGTGGAGTTACTTAGTGGCTGGAAGCGATGAAGGAGGACGAGGAGGTCGAGGGATGGGGTGGGGTGGGGGGGGTTAAGCAATTAGTGTGTGAAATAGATATCCTCTTCTTTTCCAAGAGGCAGCCTCACTCTGCCCCGAGTACAAAGTGTTAGTCTGTCAGCAGGACCCTGACAAGGGGAGAGTGCTCGCTGTTGTTTGTGCTTGCCTGGCGACCATGTTGTCTGATTATACGCTGCACTGACGGGAAAGGGGGGCTCTGTATTTGCTGTGTCATTTCTTTCAGGTGACTCAGAAGTTTCAGGAATCTATGAAAGTCAATTCTGTGCTTTTGTTGGCTTCAGGTTTCTTTCTCGTGGTTTTAGCAGCAACGCCCGCCAGCTGGAGTCTATTCAACAACTTAGAGAAAATACAGCAATAAATCACCAACGCTCAGGACAAACAAACTGAATATAGTATAGTATTAGTGTTTATTATAAAAGTTGAAACTTACAATTACCTTTATAATAGCTTTTGTGTTAAAGCATGGTGTACACAGTGATAGCCAAATACTTGTGCTACTTTTGCCCCGGATACACCTGATGCGTGATCAGATCGGTTGCACATGGACATTATTGCCTCGGATAGCAAGCGGTCACAATAAAATCTATAAAATACAATTACAAGACAAATAAATATGTTTTTCTTTCAGCTGCTTTTTTCATCTTTACACATTGGATCATAAGAATAGGGATGTACTACGGAAGCCCCAAGTGGACATGAATCTATACAATTTTATTTACTTCATTCCCCCCATATCGAGTCATTTCAGGTTGTTTTTGGGAGATTTTCACTTATTCATCTTGTGCACAAAATGCACAAAACAAACCTAGAAATAGGCAAGACAACAACAATAACATACCATTCTGCCATTGTCCCCCATTAACAGAGAGGTTTAAGGTCATCACAGTGATCAGACTGTTGTTCTGTTTTTTTCTGCCAGAAAATTATCCTGGTATTGAGACAAAACAAGGTTGTAAATTGATAAATTAATAATTAAGAGAAAACAAATAGTCAAGAAACAACTGGAATTCACTGATCACAGGTGAATTAGCTTTATCTTGAGATCCATCCGTCCATTATCTATACCACTTTTCCCATTCAGGGTCACAGGGTCATTGGGCGAGAGTTGGAGTACACCCTGGCCTGGTCGCCAGTCAATCACAGGGCTATTATCTTGAGATGAGATAACTTGATATCTCCAGAAAACAATCAGAAACTACTCATTATTGCTATAAAACGGTGTAAATAAAATGTATTCATGCATGTCTGCTCTGGGCTTCCATAATGTTCTGCTGCTACAGTAGTATATTTACAGTGTTGCTGAAAGGAAGACTCAATTTAAATCTACATCCAAAACAGTTAGCTCTTTGTTTTAATATAAAACATTGTTAATAGACGTATAAGTGTGTACAAAGAAGTGCAGTTCATAAATAGCTTGACAAGGGATAGGAGCATACATTCAACATTATTAAGAAATCAACAGGAAACACTTAATTATAGCTAAGCCTGCTACACCTCAGACATGTTAAGGCGGGAAACCCAGCTGTCATGAACAATAGTGGGTGGCTTGCCTACAGTTGAAGGAGAAAGAAGGTACTGTATTCTAACTATACCGTCCCTTTTGTGATTATTGCGCCTTGAAACTGAAAAAAGTCATTTTTGATCAATCTGTAAATAGTGGACTAAAAGCTCTGCATTTTCAAAGCTTGTGAAACCAAATTTTTGGCAATATTGCTTTAGAAAATGTGAATCTGTGGTTAATCAGTTAATTGCTGCAGAGGAAAGAAAATGAAATGGGTACTTAATGACAGTTATCTCATAATGTTTCACACTTTAGACATGCTGAGGGCAGAGGTCAAGAAACCCATCGGTCATAAGGAAAAGTGATGGACTGTTGGTGTTGTATGAAAAAGCTCCTGTGTCATGCCTTGTAAGTTTATCAGTAAAGTGAAATAAAGACAGGAAGCAGCCCTTTTTTGTATGAGATGCATAAAAACTACAAAAAAAGGTTAAACTGTGGATACTGTCTTTGTATTCTAAATATTACTGAAGGCCCTTACAGTTTTTCAAGACTGAGCAACAGAAATTTTCATTATTGCAAAAATGATAAACATGGTCAATCAATTAGTTGTGAAAGGGTTGATGAAAGCTATCCAGGGATTTGTTGGTCAGAAAAAAGAATGTTGCTCTCTTAGACACAAAGACAGTGACAACACATGACAGGCACAAAGAAGTGCTAGTGCACACAGAAACTCTAAATTGCAGGTTCAACATGGTCGTTCAAACGTCTGTGTCCAGTGGGGGAGGGAAGTCGAGACACGGTGACAGCGAGTCCTGACTGTGTGTGGAGCTAATCCCGGTGTCTGAGTCTGTGTCCGTAATGTCTAGAGGGGACAGGCTCTGTTTGAGTTTCACTGTCTGTGAGACACTGCACTGAGTCTCACTTTTCAGAGGATTGGACTGCTCTTCGTCTCCTTTGTCTGCAATTTGCAATGAGTTCAGGTGGGCAGCCAGCTGCCAGCACTCCTGATCCTTGGAGACCAGGGTCGTCTCAAAGTTCTCCAGCTGCTTGTCTATCTCAGCAGCTTGGTTATGAAGGGAAACACCAGTGAAGAGGCTGTGCTTCAATTCATCCTGCAGCCTCTTGAGTTCAGCAGTGTAGAACAATATGTCTGTCTCCATGGGGGACCAGGAAGCAGCTGCAGCTCCTTCGTGTTCACAGTCCTCGTATTGGCTCAGCGGGAAGTTGGCCCTCCTGAGTTCAGCATCGATATCCTTAGACAGCTGTAGGATTAGTTCCTGGTGCCTCTGAACTTGCAGCTCGAGCTGTTCCACCCCATCACTGGTGTACAGATACTCCTGCAGCTGATCATCAAAGTGCGCCTCCAAACTCTGAGCACAAGCCGGAGTCGGTGAACTCTCAGACTCAGCTTCCTGCTTCGTTTGGAGATCTACCTGCTCGAGCTCCAAATCCAGCTCCCTCATGCGTTGGATCTGTTCTTGGATGGTGTGGTCCTGGTCTAGAATAAGCTGCACCATCCGGTCGACCTCGTCTGCACCCAGGGAGCTCTTAGTTTCCTTGTGCAGCTTTTCCAGCTTTCGGAAAGCTTTCTTCACCATGCGCTTTTGCCTCTCCACCGGCACAGCCTGGGTGTGCTGAGTGCGACCATTTTCCAGCCGCTTTGGCCTAGCCCCCCTGGACTTTCCAACCTTCTTGGTGGGTTGAGGCACAAAATCACTGGTTTTGATTAGTATGAACTGGATGAAGGGTCTCTGGTCGCCCCAGGCGTACCAGAGTCTCAGGATTCTGGTTAGAGGAGGCAAGGCTCTTTCAAAACCCTTCCACCGCTCCACCAGACAGAAGTCTTTGGGTTCCCCGTGCAGGAGCCGCTTGCTCTCTGGGATTGACTTGTGATCATCCAGCAGTGCCTGAATCATATCTGCACATGTTGTGTGCTTTGTTACTCCACAGACAACTTTCTCCTCGTTGCAGACTGAAACCTGAATCTCCTTTCCCACCACAGGCTTGGCATCTTTTGTCCTGGGAAAAAGAAAGGAAAAAAGCTTATTTAGTGATTGTGGCTTAGGATTGAAACATTCATAAGTCTTTTATGGTTGTAAAAATCACTGTCTCAGTGTCATCTAATGGTCAAAGGGTAAACATTGAAACTAAAGACTCAGTGGTTTTCGTTCTTCCATCGTTCCATCAATCAGAAACCGTTTTGATATGTTACATGCATTTTACCCACATTTGGACTTACTTGTTGCTGGGTTTAAGAACATTTTGGAGTCATAAAGAAATTGAAAAAAGATTGTTGTTAAGTTCAGAAGCTTTGCATAAGAAGTAACAGAGCTGCAGTTGGATGTTTACCACACATACTCTAAGCTTAAAGGTCCTTTCACTGTATTCTAAGTAGCATATTTTCTTAAGCAGTTCTGTCTTTGATGGTTTTCCATTAGATCAGTGAGCAGAAAACTACATTGGCACATTTGGTGCTCCCAGCCTTGATTTTATTAGACTGCTACTTATCGTCTTACTCATCAGAGATGATCACTTAATGGTTTGATTCTGAGCTATTTCACCCTGAGGCCCTCATTACCTTTTCATCTGCACGGTCAAACTCGCTCAAGAATTGACCTCCGATGGGCCAACGATATCCATTTTTTTACATGCTTAATGGACCACCGGTAATATCCAGGACCTAATATGCAGTCATTAAATGATCGGCACCGGCAATGCAGACATAATCGAATAAGTAGATACCATCGCCAGACATTTCAATTTGATTTCATGATAAAGACTGATGCATCATGTAATAATTTATAAAGAAGAGATCAGCAACAGATAACTAGAAGCAGAAGTATTCCTAAATGTCAAGTTTCGGTCTCAGTGAAATACTTAAATAAAACCTTCTCTTATGTTTTATATATATATATATATATATACATATATATATATACACACACACACACACATATATATATATATATATATATATATATATAGAGTTCCTATTCCAATGCTGAAGAGCAGACTTACTATGGGGGTTGAAGGAATGTTGGTTTCTGGTTTTACAACCAAACAGGCATTTATTCATGATACTGTTAACAGTAATAAATCCGAATAACGTGCTTGCAATCCTGGTAAATGTCAAGTTTGGTCCACAGTCTGCAAAACGGATAGGTAGCAGACTCTGTGAGGGAGCTCAGCTTTAGCTCAGTGAGACACTTGCTCACATTATTTGACATGAGCAGACAAAAGCCAAAAACTTTTGACCAAAACATGATTAAAATGACTTGTCTGAAAGAATTTCACTGTTCCAGAGAAAGACTCATCACCCACCACCAACTCCTTCACGGAAAAACATGACCCACATTTATGCTATATTTCAACCCTTTAGATGTATTCAATGAAAATTTGTGTATTTTGGACCTCAGATGGTATAACACATGCCAGAAACGGAACAAAACTAATATGTTTAACAAAAACGCTTCACAGACTTTTTTTAAAAACTTTTTCCAGGAACACATTCATGACTGACTGAAAAACTCTGTCACCCACTTTTGGGTCCACCTGTCGAGAATCACTGCTGTGAGGGATTTGTGCACAAAAGCCTTGCCTACGAACATTTGTGGTTAAAATCAAATAGTAGAGATGTTCAGTCTCTAGGTACGAGCCGCCATGATTTCAAGTTTTGTTGTTTTCAGATCCAAACCTTGCATCCTGTAGCTGCAGTATGTTTTTGTTCTCAGATAGCCTTGGTTGACTGCAGCCCACATTAACCACTGATCGTCACGAGGAAGGAGGCACAAAAGTACACATCGTCTGGAGATGACACAGATATGACCCGCCTGGAGGCCAACACCAGCAAGTGAGATATAATAAGTACTGTTTGAACAGGAGAACTGAAACGCTTCTTTATCTCGCACATTTTTACAGATGTTACAGTCTGATACCACCAGCATTTTGGTTCCCACACTGCATGAAAACACACAACCAGAGTATTGTGTAAGCTGGCGTTGAATAAGGTCTCAGGAATGCGATATGTATGCAACAATGCAACAGGTTGGTTAATGGTTATATAGAGACCCTCGGAGACAAGCGGAGCAAAGCAAATACCTGAGCTATGTGCAGGCCAAACAAATCCTGCACGCCTCCAGCATTCAAAAACATCGACCGTGACGACTATGACCTCAGAGTTTCCAACTACAGCCCACTCAGGAAACCCTGCAAACACTGTTGATGCACAGGGGGGGACACAGGGGGAGGACAGCGTGTAGGCCATGCATCATATGTTGTTTACTTTATAGGAATATTCAAAAATGTTGCACATTTTTCAGCTCTTTCGGTATCTAAAGCCCCCGAGGGGTCAACAAAAACTGAAAGAGGATCAGAACGGGGAAGAGGAAAACGATGAGAATCACAACCATGGATGTTTCCGGCTTTTTGCAAATTAAGCTTTTCCAGGTAGAGTAATAGATATTTTCACCTCTTTAAAAGGTGAGAAATGCAACAATCTGTGGAAATGTTCATGGTTACATGCAATGGTTTATTACCAAGTAAATAGAATTTGTTGACCTTATTTTATGTAAATCGATAAAGTATTTGATCTACTTAGAGGGACATTAATCTGTCAAATCTGCACATTTAACAGTTGAAGATACACTGCAGGACAGCAAGACAATGATCATTTCTTACACATCTTTTACACAATATTGTGAATTTATTGATACATCTACTCCTTGAAGTAAGTCTTTGAATGGAGCACCACCTAGAACAATATGCAACATTGAAAGGCTGCGCTGAAACACAGCAAAAGTTGTTAAAACTTTTTTTGAAATCGGGTAATCGGTATCATTGTTTAGCACACGATTGTACTCTGAATCAGAAGAATAAATAACACAATTTTATGGTATCCCCTGGCAAAAAAAGGAAAGAAAAGAGAACCAGGGATTTCCTGCTGCAGATGAATAAAGAAATAAAGGACGGAAAAGAGAACAGGACAGGAGGGAAGAAGCAATAACGAGAGAGAAACATGAAGCTTGTTGGACAGATGTTGGTTACGTATTAGGACAGGAATATCTGTATTTGATTAGTGCATGGTGATATCTGAACATACAGGTGGATAAACAAGCTCTACAGACATTTCTGTATTTCATAGAGACCGACCCATGGCCTCAGCTGTGCAGGAAGAGGCTACAGCGAGGCAGGGAAACACCTGTATTTGTCCCGGGCCACAATCCCCAACATCCTGCCACCACAGCTCAATAGACAGATGGAGGAAGGGGACAATGAATTCCATAGCGGTCAAAATAAATCTGTTTCGTAAAACTCTGCTCTAATGTGAAGTTAGTGTTGACAAATCTATGACCATGGCTGGATAATCCTGATTTCAAATGTCTGAACATTTTCTTAAAAATTTTAACATTAATGAATGAAGCTCATGTCCGTGTTGAGATATTCTCAGGGAGTAAGGGTGTTTTGTTCCGGGAAACAATGGAGCGATTCCCCCTCGGCTCCGATTAGTTTGGACACACGTGAAGACAACAATTGTAGGCTCTGATGCGGATCAAAACAATCGAGTCGAGATCGCCAGGAAGTGGCGGTCTCGGCTCGCTTTAAGACCTTATTCTTCAGTGGTTCGCTTGCACTGAGAACGCAATCAACAGAAAAAAACAACTGGCTGACTCATTACCCTTTAATTGTTGGTGAGTGTTGTGTGTGGGTGTGTCTGGGTGTGTTTGCATGTGAGAGGAAGAGAAAGAGAGAGAGAGAGACTGAGGCAGAGAGCTTGTATTTATATTTGAGCTGTGTATATTCAACATCTGAACGACACACAGATCTGTCTTCAACTTGTCTGCGAGAGCTTCGAAGTGAAACTTTGTAGAGAAGTGTGACTTTCTCCATCACGAGCACTCAGGTCGTACTTGACAACAACAACACTATCCAGTGGGAGCGCATAATTCATGATCCTTTGTCATGTGTTGTAAACAATTCACTCATACAGTGAGACATGAAATACCACCGCGACTTGTATACAACTGTACAGAGTATGCTTGACCTTCGGTAGAAAGTTAAAACAAACACTACATTATTGTAACCTCATGAGAAAGTGAGGTGGAAAAATCATATTGTTTTATGAATTAACATTTTGATAAGACCGGTGGTGGACTAAGTGTCTGGAAATATCAAAGACGCTAACACACTCAAGTCAAGTCCCCACCTAGATAAAGAAAAATACTGCACGCATTATTGGGCTGATTGCATCGCAGCTAATATGCTCATGAGGGCTGTCACTTCAGGTGCCATTTGATATTCATAGTTTGGGATTAAGAGGTGGTTGCCAGACGCAACAAATGAGGTTGCCCTCATAAGTCCGGGCTTCAGGTGGAAAAGGACAAAGCTGGCACTGGTTTTATGATGAACTCAATGCCTCTGATTAAAAATCATCCAATAGAATAACAAACATATGATGAGTACTAGACATTCAAAAAGACGCTGTCATAGAGGGGGTTGATGCTGTGCAGGGAGCAACACAGGAGAGTCAGACCTCAACATTTAACACTCGAGTGAATCCAGGAAACCTGAGCGGACCAGCTTGACCTCAGTTTGAACTTCCAACCTGAGAAACTCAGAGAGCCATCAGACACGTGGGAGGAAACCACATTCAAATGATCTGAACTTTCAGCACAAGTATCTGCGCGGGCCGATTGCATTACAGCTTCACCATGGTGGCATGGCACTCTTCCATCATAACACTCATAAAGACCACCTTTGGGACTTTAACAATTCCCTCTTTGTCGTAAAATTTGCAAGCTGCAAGTTACCGCGATGACTGCATGCTGGTGGTTTGAACATGTCGTAACAAATGACAGAGTTATAGCCCAGCAGTGTCTCAGCTTGTTTTCTCAGATTGATAGCGATATGATAAGTGGATGCTAATATTGCACACAGAAACAAAGCTTTGGTAGAGCGTCAGCAAATACATCCTGTAGCAACTGCTGTCAGCAAGTTCTGATTTTCTTGCTTTGGCATCGACGTTCGATTACCTTCTGATTCTTCAGGTGGTGACAAAATGATAGGTTTGCTATTTAAAGAAAGAAATAATGTAAATGTGTCTTGTTAAGAGCTCTATTAAAGGGCTGCTTCGCTTTGTTTACGTAAAAGTCATAGTATAGTTTCTTATATCTCTAGTGGTAAGCATGAAACTATTATTTTAAGGCCAACATTTTTAATAATTTAAATATCCATCCGCCTGGAGGCTTTACGTTGACACAACAGTACTTTTAATCTACATGTCGGCATGCTTACATCCCTATGACAATGCTAACATGCTAATATATAGCAAGTTTTGGATTTACCATGACATCATTTAGCAAGTAAGCATACCATGGGCTAATTAGCGGCAACTCTAAGCTAAGGCTGATCAGAATACGAGTTCTGCAGGTTTATGGTTCAAAACAAATGTAAGAAATGGTTAAGAATGAAAAGAAAGACCTAAAAACAGCTGTATTGTGAAGCTAAAGACGACCTATTTTGCTGATCCCCATTCTAAAACTCACATATTAGCGCTACAATGCTGGATGCCTATACTTAACCTGGGCAAAGATTTAGGTCACGAGGTAAACGTACGTCAGAGAAATCCCAGGATGCAAGGAAACAAGTCCAGCTTTGCATTAAAAAGAGCTAAGTAAGAGAAAGTCGTCTGTTGACATTTGTTTGAACCAAACCTGAAAGCTTTGCTGGAACGACACATCTCATTAAAGACACACGACCTTTGCATTGTTTCTCTTAACGTAAATGTTAATGACATCAGGCCATAAGATGAAACATCATATTAGCATTTCCTGAACTAATAAGAAGCAGCTCTCTTTCTCAGACTTACTGTTCAGCTCTACGATAGCCTGATGTGTTGTGCCCTGTCGGTCATACAGTGTGAGGACTATCATACAACTTATCTGCAACTTATCTGAGCACGCGTCTCGGAAATTTCAACATGAGCTGCAGGGCTTGCCACAACGAGCCAATGGGCTTAGATCAGTGATCTCACACTGACAATGAGGTCGGACTGACAAATTTTTATCGAGGGGGCCTAGAACCGAGCGTTACATGCGGCTAATGCTACAGCTAACAGGAGGACGTAGGAGAAGCCGCGTTTCCGCGGACTTTGAATTTTTGCACATAGATGTGCCTAAACATGCACAGGACACTTGGAAAACACACTAAAGGGCATATTAAACCAGAAAAAGCATAATATGGGACCTTTAAAGACAAGAAGTCTCACAATAACACAAATTAGCTAAGCGATCAAGGCAGCGGTAGATCAGCAACTCCTGTGTTCTGCACAGTCAAATCACTGCTTTTGTTATTTGAGTCTGGTGATTTTGACGAGAGCAAAACCAGCAAAACCACCAAAGCCTCTTTCTGATGGAAAAAAAGAAAATCTGTCTCATAGACCACTTAAAAAAAAGAGATCCTTCAGAGATCCACGTTTATGTTAGGCACTTACTACGACATAGATATATCAGACTTTGAAAGTGTAAACATACCGTCTTTAGTGGCTTATTTAGATAGAAGGAACAAAAGCAAACAGAGAGCAGATTCTGGTTTCTGGACAGGAGGTGCTTCCTCTCGCTCTTATCTCAAAGAGGATGAGGGATGGGCGAGGAAAAAAAACATCACTTTTCAAATGAATCTGGATATGTTGATCTCTGGGATGACTCCCGCTCTGATAGGCATCTGTGAGCAGAGACACAACACACCCCTTCCCCTTATCTCTCCCCCCCCCCCACACTTCCTCTAGGAAACCACCCACCCGCCCTTTATTCCCCCCCCGCTGGCTCTGTGAATCACCAAATAGGCTTTTGCGCAGTGAAAATAAATGACTTATTCTCTATGAACACAATCGATCCATTCAAACTGCTTTTTTAGTGGCCTCCTAATTTGTGCAGAACCAAACAAATTTCAGCAGCTAATTGGTCGCGTCTGCACAATGCTGTCATGCTGTTTCTGTGGCAAGAGAGCAGGATTAAGTGGAAGTTGTCATTGCATTGGCCACATGTGTCACAGACTGGCAACGATTACACTTAAAAGTTACTTGAGGCCTGAAAGTGCAGTTTCACCACCACAGCAGCTCCGCAGTGACGCAGCCTGAGTCTTTGAAGTGAAAGAGAATGAAACAAATTTTGTCAGCTGCAATTATCAGTTTAATTCTGAAAGTCTTGATGTTTCAAACCGACTGTTAAAGAGCGACAAGATGAAGCTGATGTGGAGCGGCAAACATCCGCTTGAATGTCTCAGGAGCCGCTCTGAAATTGAGTGTGTGACATATCTGCAGATCTAAACACTCGAGGTAATTATAGGTGCCGCAATGGTAATTACTACTACACAACATGAAAAAATAATAAGACATCCACAAGAGACAGCCTCAATCAGACTGTTTGAAGTGATCAAAGCTAATTCATCTCAGCTCTGTGTGTGTGTGTGTGTGTGTGTGTGTGTGTGTGTGTGTGGGTGTGTGCGTGTGTGTGTGTGTGTGTGTGTGTGTGTGTGTGATGTCAAAATCCATCCATTCTGCTGCTGGTGCCACTGTCAAGCAGCAATTTAGCATAAAAGCCATTTTATTTCTGAACTTAATCCAAACCTTGCTGCTTGGTTAGGTGCTAAGTCTGCGTCTTAATAAGTAAAACTAATGAAAATAGCTCTTAACCCACAATTAAAGCCTTCCTGATCCCGGTTTTGGCAACATAAGCTCTGTCTGCTCGCTGCGAGGGGATTGGATCATGACCTAGATACTCCTTAAAAAAAACACAGAAACTCTGTTTACCAACTCTGCACAACAAAAGTCTGCAGTCAACAACTCCAAATAGAATTTCTGCACCCATAATGGAGGACAGCTTGTGGCTCTGCAAATCTAATTTTCCCACACTTTTTTCAAAGCTGCTGCACATACAGTAGAGGCACATCAAAAAGGCAGAGTGAGCCACTCAGGGAAACTACAGCAGCAAATTATAAGCGTGTTGATGACAGGACGACTTTGTACCTGAAGTCTGAACGTTCTTTGGTCGTGTTATCCCAGATGAAACATGCATTAAATAAAACACCTTTGTTGTAATTACAGAGCAGGAGAAGGTGAGCGCTCTTATAATTTAAAGTAAGGTCAACATTTTTGATGCTTAGATACTTTTCAAAACCACATGTTTTAAAGTCATACAGAGATATCTGATATTTTAATGATTGACAGTATCTACAAGTACCGACACTTAAAAATAGCTTTAGATCTTAAGTCATGTTTTTGAACCCAAAGCTGCTGGAGCGAAAGAAAGAGAGAGCAGTGTACAAATACATTGGCAACGTTTGTATTTGTGCAATTAAGACAGTGTGCAGGAGTTTGTCTTCAGAGAAGAGAAAAAAAAGAGTTGCCATGGTACCCTTAAATGTATGTATATCATTTGATTTGAACTGGAATCATATCAAAAATCTGGTTTCTTGACAACCATGATGTAAAGTTTGACAGAAATAAGTGAAACCTCATTAAATCACATGTTTTGGTGCTTGTTTTTTTAACTGCTGGTGCAATATAACTTACAAAGGTTTCATATTTTAAGTGTCAAATTAAGTTGGAAAAAAAGTATCTGTTAATTTTTGCAAGTGGCAAAACGTTAAACTGTCCTCCAGATACACATATACAAGAAATAACAACTTTGATAAGAACAGATGACCCTGAACAGCTTCAGGAATTGTGAATGCGGTGTAATCTTGCTTAAAATAATAGTAAAGGCCCATGATATGGTTATTCCCCTTGAAAAATGGGTTAATAACATATCTCTTACTATAAATTCATAACTGAACGTTTTTTTCCAACTTTAAGAAGCTTATATTTGAAGTTGCAATATATTTACTGAGATCGTTTTAGATCATTCCTAATATTATCCTTCCAATATTGCTCTAAATAACTATTAAAAACAGTATTCCTCCTCTGTCCTTCTATACCCAAAACGCAGCTCGCTCATAAACCTGACGCGCTTCGTCGTGCGTAATTCACCACTGAGTTCACAAGTCTCCCATAACGACACATCACTGTCATCACATTACCTGTTTTTCAGTCGAGCTTTCAGGAAGTTTTTTCCAAACGGAGCCATGTCTCAGGAGCGCGAGGAGAACCGAGCAGCGATCCGAAACGCGTTACAATCCCCGCATGGCACGCGGGACGTCGTCAGACACTTTGTGGAGACGTTCAGAAAAGTTTGAGGGTGTCCCGGCTGAAACTCCGCAGCCAGTCCCAGACGAAAAAAACCAGAGGGAGGTGTTTCCCAGACCCAACTGAGATTAGATGGTGAAACTCTGCCCCCCTCCACCTGCAGGAGTGTGCGAGTAAATGCTCGAGCCTCTTCAAAATCACTGTGTTCATTACAAAAGAGTAGGCTACAGTATCAGTATAGGCCTAAAACTTTCTGGGATTAAAAGGGAATTATATTGTAGGATAGGAGATCAGATTAAACTCCATATAAGGCGTTTTAGAGGAATAACAAAATGTGAGTTTACAGAAATATCAGAAATATGATGCACATGGGCATAAAAATAACCCCCATGATGCAACAGCAAGTACCATTATACTAGTATTGACTTGTCATGTGACTGGTTGTATTACAGAAACCTTAATAACGTTATGTAAAAGTATGATCCCAGTCACAGTTTGCTGCAGTACAGGACACACAGAGGGAAATTAACTTTTAATTTAATTTGGGAACTAGTTCTCCCTGCTGGATTCAAATGACACAGATTTAATTTCAGACCTGAGAGGAATGCAGCGCGCTCTAACTTCAGTCTGACTGTTTTTTTCAGACTGGAAACATCTCGAGCAGAACACACAGACTGTGTGGCTTTTCCAAAATAGGAAATTAACCCTCAGGAGACCAATTAGTGTGAAAACGGTACTGTCACTTTAAACCAAAGTGGATTTTATTTGTTACATAAATTGTTATTTACATATCCAGTAACCTCTCTTTAGCCGTTTTCACATATGCACTCAGGATAATATCTAGATATTTACAGGAGGACTTCTCTGGAGATTCTCCCGACCTAGCGGGGTACTATCCCTGTCAGAGGGGAGGGGGCTCGGGGGATTTCCCGAGGTAAGACGTAACGTAAATAAACAATGCAAAAGTAGCGGCCGAAGCAACAGAGTCCGCTACACGACGTTATAATGAGCATATTTGCCTTTATATCAACGCTATGTGTAATCCAATGGAATGACAACATCCACCAAAGAGTGGAGAACAACATACTGATGAACAGAAAACATAATGCAGCTGTTTAATTACGTGCACAGAGATCGTAGAGGGTGCAGACACTTTAGGCAGTAACTGTATAAACGTCACTCTCTTTCCATTGGCTCAAATTGAAATCTCCGGAGTATATGCTGCCATGTTCAGACATCAGCTCACTCGGATTTTCTGCGGAAAAAATACTAGGGGTCTGGCCGGAGAAACTCTGAGTAAAGTCTGTGCGAAAAATGTGGCTGTTTGCGTTCACACATAACCTAAATCCCCTCCGGGTAGCCAAATCTCCAGAGTTTTTCAGAAGATATCCGTATGTGTGAAAAGGGATTTTGTTATCAGGATGTATCTAGAAGTAGTTTGTATATTGTGATGAAAATGTATCAGAGATTTATCATAGTGAAGATGTAATGCAAATCCGCACACATTATGCACTTCCATGAGCTAAAAAGCATGTCATTTTATAAATAGTGAAGTGAGGAAATTATGGACGCATACTACATTCACATGAGGAAATAAAAAATAATCTGCTCTGTGCTTCTAAATGTAAAAGATAATTATGATGTTAATTTGGAAAAACTGGGCTGTTTTTTTTTTTTTTAATTAACGAGGTAGAGGGGGCTTCTTCCTGAATATTAGTTGACTATGTTCATTTGGGAAAAGGGGGTTGTTTTCATCAATTAATGAGTTCACTTTGTTGTTGATTCAGAAATAGAGGCTGTTTTTCCTGAATTAATGACACAACTGGCTCGTCGATTTCTAAAAAAACAACAACAGATTTAAGAAATCTTTGGAAATAATTCAAGTTTGTCAAGTTGTTCTAATTGTGGAATTGCTGATGATGATTGTTATTAGTTTAAATTATACAGCTCCTGCAGCCCACATGTCTTGTTGTTCTCGGGCAAAACACTGAACCCTACTGCTACCTGTTGTACAGCCATTAATGTGTGAATGTGTATGAATGATAAGAAACTAAATGAAACGAAAACAAAAACAAGGCAGTATCTTGAAAAAGGAGAGGATCTAAGAAAGATCCCTGAGGGACTACGAAATAAATTATTTTGATAAAAAGTATTTAAATTGATCATAGTTGTGTTTTTGAAGCCGTAAAATGCAAGTTTCAAAGTTCTTACAGAGATCATCACGTAATGGCTGTTAATTTAATGCAGCTTTTTAAGGTTCTGTTAATGTTCTCCTTTTTTATTTTTCTGCAGTTACTAATAGAGAAACACTCATCAGATAATTAAAGTAAATCAAAGTTAAAATGAGTGTTTTCTTAATTTATGAAAAATCAAGAATGAACTTAAATATAAGCAACATTTGTGTATTGTTTTCTTTAATGATCCGGAAACTGGACACATGATTGTGTTCATGAACATTTACATTACTGGGAAAGGTAGTGAATTAATGATGAGGATAGACATTTCAAGAGTTTATGAAAATAAGTGCAAATTTTAAAGAATATATGTATACAAGTATATTAATAAAAGCAGAGAGTGCGTTAGTAAAGCATATACAGTAAAATTACATTCCCATATTATCAGATATACATCAATAAGATTGATGTCATTCACCCACAGTGTTGGAAAGTTAAAACAATCACCTGTTGATTTAGAAAGAGACTTCATTTACAAACCAGAGTACATGGGGGGAGCACAGCTTCTCCAAAGACAGGCACAGAGGGAATCCTTTTCCAAGCACCCTCCCCCACTCCCGACAAACACAAAAAATATATCTAAAATTATTGAATACATAAATAATTTCTCAGCCGAGGGGAAATAACCAAATCTCCCAAACCTTGACGCAAAAACATTTTCGCCTTGTGATGCCACAGTGACGTCTGATTCAGCGATGACACATGGATGTAAAGGGAAAAAGATGATATGAAGACAGAGAGGATGGATGGAGGGGTGATGGGGTGGAGGAGGAGGGGGGGGGGGGGGGGGGCATCAGTGGGTGTGAAGGTGGGGGTGATATTCTTACATCACACTGGCTCTTATAAACTGAGGGAATGGAGCCCACTGCACTTGACAACCAACCAGGAAACTGAAAGACAGGAGGGAGAGTGTTTGGATCTGCAGGAGAAGAAAAAGGAGAAGAAGAAGAAGCAGCATCACTTTCAGTTCTTCTCCAGCCTCTCTTTGTGTCTGACTTTTAACCATACGGACTAGACCCCTCCCCAGGTTAATTCTTATTCTTCAGAGCGGGATCTTCTTTACTCTTTTAGTCCTTTTCTTATCAACATGCAGGTTCTGTTGACGGGCTTACTCCTCCTCTGTTTCACACGTGGTGGACTCTGCACAGGTAAGAAAACTGGGTTTTTTTTCAAAACACTTTTTGCATTGCTTTGCATTCATTATTTATCACTGAACAGATGCACAATAAAAACACGTTAAAGGAATATAAACAGATAACTATAGTGCTGAATAGCTCTGGCCGTTTCCCCTGTTACACGTCTTACTGTGTGCAACAGGTGCATCATTCTGTTCTATATTTGTGCAACAGTGAAACATCTCTATATTAAAAATAAAGCATAGAGTTTAGTGCTGCACCTCAACAATTCTTCATGTCGTTATTTATCTCTATGTTTGTAATATTCTTGCTGTGAAACACGTTTTATTTATACTGTAGTTATTCAACATTTCTAGTCCTTCAGTTTATGGAAATGCTGTTCCATCATGAGGCTCTAACTTTAAAACTTCACTGAATATATTCAAGTCAAGCTAAGACATTATCTGACATTTTTATCTAACATTTTGCACAAGTTTTGACTCTTTTAGGCTCCTTTTGAATCAACTGAATTTAATGTATTCTCTTATTTCTTGTATTATTATTTTTTTACACAATCATGCAAAACAAAGGTGCTAACAAAAAAAATGAAGACATGATGAAGTTTAACATACATATACATAAGCACATATGCATACAGATACACACGATCAATTCAGCATTAAAGGATATGTAGTGTAATGCACACTCACAGTCACATACACTCTGGAGATTGAGATGAATAAATCCCCGCTCTTCTTACTACAGACTATATTCTTCTTTAACTGTCTTATTTATCTGCTTCTCCTTAATGATCCAATCAGTTAAGACCTAATTTAACCGTCCTAGAACCCTTTCAAACCTTTGCTCATCCAAAGATGCCTCAAAATTAACACAACATGTTTCTCTTGATTCCAAATCAAAGTAAATTTATTTTGAATGTATTTGCGGTTTAATGAAATTACCCTTTTATGCAGCCTTCACAGAACTCTTTAAGAGACTTAATCCTTTGGGATTAGATTACAAAATCACGTTGAACTCATTGATCCAATCAGCAGTCAGCCTTTAAGATTCATGGACATATTGCCTACAATGATTTAATACAGAGAGAGTTTTGTAGTATTTTAAAAAAACAACGGATGTTGGTTGATGAACCTTAGGATACTTTGTCTCCTAATGAATGCTTAAAGACTTAGTTTAGGTTTTCTTTCCATATTTCATTGTATGTATATTTATGTTGTTTCTTTTATTTAACCGGGTCAATAGACAGTCCCTGAGTTAACCACGTAGCCACATATTATCTGCTTGTTAAATAAAAGGTTGCAAACTCTACATGACGACAGCTCAAACACAGTCTAAATGCTATCTGACACTTATCATAATTTAATGTTGTTCTTATGTTCTGTATGTTATAAACATGTGTCATGCAGATTTATTACATTTTCTTTTCATTTGCTCCTCTGACAGATGTGGACCAGGATCAGCGAGCGCTAGAGGAGGAGCTTCTCAGCAGTCTCTTCACTTCTAAGGTACTGTACAGGGGTTTTTCTTTTTCTTTTTTATACCTGTGACATCAGAGACTGAGTGTCCAAAAAGGTTCGACCCACCCGGTGTTTTAGTGATCCCTCGTATCCCTGCTGCTGCTGCCCGCACATACAGGCCGCCAAGAGTTCTTTCACCTTCCTGTTGTACTCATGCTGAGTGCAGATACATGATTCAATCTAATTCAATCTTTTTCTCATCTCTCTTAGAAACTCTCACTTTGACTGAGCTAGTTAGGGTTTGGTTTGAAATTATGTATTTTACTCAGACAGAGAAAAAAGACTAGTGTGCGCACATCCACGCACATTGCATACAGAGGCAGGACAAAAAAAGTATAAACAGAAAAAAAGAAGATCCTTATGATCCAAACGTTGCTCTTAATGAAGCTGCTCATTGGGAGCTGAACAGTGTGCTGAAGTGCAGGTTCTCACAGTGAAATTGGCCTCCACACGATTTTGGACTTCATGATTTTTAAGTTATTATTTGGTGGTGTGAGCTCGATGTGTTACCCTAAACTTCAAAATATGAAGATCTGGTTTGGATGATCAGTTGTGTTATTAAGTTAGCTATAATATTAGAATTGTTCATGAGGCCGTTTATATAAAGAAAACGGGTTAGTGACAATAATCTTGTAAAATGCGGTCTATAAAAAAGCTTGCTGACGACTGGTGTCTGACCTTTCACAGATTATTTTGAGTTGTCATTTAAAAGTTGGTTCTAAAAGTTTTGGTTCATTTTAAACATTTGTTTTTTGATTTCTGGATACAGAAAAAACATGACACTGGTTTCATACTGTATGTGATGTATGATGTAAGCAGACTGCAGCACATACATCCAGTGTCCATTCAATAATACAAATATCCATCCAGATGGAAAAACAAAAGAAGAATGTTGTAACATTTCATGTGTAACTATCATTAACCTGTGGTTGATGTTGTGAACTACCTCACTTTGGTTATTTTATGCACCATGAAAACTCGGCTTTCTTCAGAGTATAAAGGTCACTCAGATACGGACATGTTCTTGCAAGGCATCACTGATTATTAGAAAAAACACACAACATTTTCTGTCCCTCTGAACCTTCGTCAAGTGTGTTGACAGAGGTGATGCCTTCCTAGAGTAATGTCTTTTTAAAGGTTTATAACACATCCCGTCTCGTATCATCAGCCATAAATGATTGACACAGCCATTGCTCTCGACCTCCACATAGACGAGGCTTTGGTACTTTTTAAAAGATGTCACCTGACTTTGATGGAAGATCTTAATCATCAGCAATAAGTAACACTGCTTTAGGGGCATCTGCAGCTTCATATTTTGAGTGTGAGGCCACTGACCAAGCTTGAGTGTTTGTCAACTTTGGAGTGAGAATGTGTCGGGAAAATAAAGCTTGTTAAAGTGACGGATACCCGAGAGTTATAGGATTCAGATGGACAGCATCATAACGACACGTCTTCCACCTCTCTGTCTTTCTCTGTCTGGAAAATAACAGTGCTGCTCGTACAAAGATGATCTGACAGTCGCCGCTGATGCTGGGAGGTTGTTCAGGGCTCATGATTGTAATAATAACTCGCCAGATGACTGATAGACGGCTCCAAAGGCTGAGGAGTGCAGGACTGTAGAGGAGTCATGGGGCTTTGGAGCTTCACAAAAAAACAGGATTATGATTTCTTCACTTTGAGTTGAAATTATCCACCATCTGTTGTTGAGTCTTCTCTTGTTCTGATTTCCTGCAGGATTTTGGTTCGACTCTCTGGCTTATTTCTGTTTGTATCACGACAGCACATGAACAAGCCAGGTTTCATATGTGGGTTTTTTTTTGGATGATGTTAGTTGTTTGTCAAAGAGACTTTCTAAAATGTTACTTATAAATCCTTCAAACGGGAGCTTCTGCTGGTGCGGCTCTTGTTTTCCTTTCCTTACCTATTTTGTGTTTTTTGGATCCAGCACCCACTGAGAGATGAGCGTGACTTGATATAAAGTTATTTTGCGCTGGGTAGTAATATTTGATAGGGGATACGGGGAACCTCTGCTATCATTTTACGCTATAGAAGCATTTCTCAACAAGGTAGCACATCTCAACAGAACACCGGCTAATATAGTCTTTATTTCTGATTGATTCAAAAAGGATTAAAAAGAACAGACCCTCCAAGGAGCCGATTCCAAAGAATTACTAACAAGTGGACCCCTGGGGGTTGTTAGAGTATCTGCCCACTGTATTATCCCCCCCCTCCCCCCTCTAAGTTATTGATTTAGTGACATTACAGGAGAAGATTCTGATGAATCTATACTAAACATGACACCTGCACAATTAAATCCAAACCTGCCCCTCACTCTCTTAATCAATTAAGATTAATTTTAAACTAAATGAAATGTGAAAAGGACATTCGTTTTAATCAAAAATGATTATTCTGATAAGAATATAAGAACACATTCATCTGATCTGTAAAATTGATGGTGAAAATGTTAAAATTTTATAAAGCGATATGAATTACTACAACTTCTTCTTTGTCCCGTCACAGTCCTGAGCAGCATGATGAGCACACATGTGAACACGTTACATCAGGACGATTAGATTAGCTTGAGTTAAGTTGTGGAAGATTCTCTTGATTGTGATCGTCTTACTCCTGTCTGTATCTAACGATCAAAGCATATCATAGGCCACAGAAAAAAAAACGTTTTCCTCCTGCCCAGAGAGGTTTAATGGAATGAAATGATGATTACATTTGAAAGGAAAAATGTGCCTCATGGTTTTATTTTGGTCCTCTGTGGTCTCTCTCTCTCTCTCTCTTTCTCTTTCTCTCTCTCTCTCTCTCTCTCTCTCTCTCTCTCTCTCTCTCTCTCTGTCTCTGGGATCATATTCAGTTTATCAGCGTACTGTTTGTAGAAACTTCCTTTATATCATCACTGCACAATAAGGATCGACTTTCTAAATTTTCTAAATTTAGAGAACCTTATTACTTTCTGAATTTCTTTTCAACCTAACAACCTCGACTCTTGTTCCCTGTTTGCAGATGAAACAGAATAAGCAGAGTGCCCCCTACTGGCGCGTGTCGCTGCCCAACCTGTGCCGTGTGGTGAGCAGTCTGAGGCAGGAGGTGTGGAGCGGCGAGGAGGGCGAGGAGGAGGAGGGCGAGATGAAGGAGGGGGGCCTCCAGCTGCTGGAGGAGCTGTACAACCTGCAACACATCTGCAGAGCGCTGCAGAGCCGGGAGGAGAGGGTGAGAAACACACACACACACACACACACACACACACACACACACACACACACACACACACACACACACACACACACACACACGTATTACAAACACACACATGATAAAAACACTCAGAAACAGACTAGTGCAGGTCGGAGTAGATATCCTTAGTTCACATATAGAGTAAGAACAGGAGCATATTGTGTGTGCCTCAAAAGAAGCGTTTCAAGTGTAACAGCAGCAACATTTAAGTTGACCTCAGACTGAATGCTATAAAGTAACTTGTAATAGGATAAAAAGAGAACCACACATGGTGTCTGCTATAGTGTTTATAAACTGTGCAGGTTGTAACCCTACCAACCAACAGGTAGATTCAGATTGTCATTTATCTGTTTATCTTTGTGCTGTCTGTATGAATTGAATCCTAACTTCAGAGTGTTCAGAGTGTGTACTTCAGGCCTATTTATGGAGCTTTTCTTTCAATAATGGAGTGCAAACCTGAAAAAAGATTTACATGGATTTATTCAGAAGAAATAGTTATATTATTTAATTCCCAACTCCAGCATAGAGGTTTATAAACAAAATAAGGTGATAGTGATGGGGATGGGGGGGAGATAGGACAGCTGATAGAGTCAGAAGCCTCGGAGAGAGGGGTGCATTGGGGAGTCTTTATCGGCACACACTTAATAGGGAAACACATTTTTTCATAACCCACTTTAAGCAGGATAAAAGTTAGGCATAATTAGGGGCGTGGTCAGTCTGACTGCAAGAAGCTGCTTTGTAGCAGTTTGTCAGGAGGCTTAGAGTCTTTGCTCCAGCTCTTTGCCTACCGTTAGGTTGACCAAAAGTTTGATCGCGTTATCATATCCAATATGGCAACCACCATGGATGGGCTTCAAAACAGCACTTCAGAAATTAATGTGTAAAGTCACAGACTCCTTGTCCATATTAATATACAATCTATGGTTGGCCCTTTATTTAGATTTCACCTTTTCTCATTAGTTTTTACAATTTGCACCAGTTTAAATAAAAAGCACTATGCACTAATCTTCAAATTTCATGAATTATCTTAACGCTTAATGTTAATACCAATGAAGCTATCACTTCTACTGCAGCAGACAAACACAAAGTCTGTTATATCACAATATATTGAAAGATAAATACACTGGCTCTATTTTTGTTGTTTCTTTTGTCAATGTAAAAAAAAACAACAACAAACAAGTGCTGCAGGAAAGGGTTAATAAAACTGTGCTAAATAGCAATACTGGTTTAAAAGGCCAGTAACACTGATGACATCATGTCTTAACCTTTACAAAAACTACAATCTCCCCTCTCCTTCAGGAACACACACACACACACACACACACACACACACACACACACACACACACACACACACACACACACACACACACACACACACACACACACACACAGAAGAGGCCCTCCGTCATAGTAAACATAGCTCATTAACTCCCTTCCATCATCACCCCATCACCCTCCACTCCACACAGCAGCGTCTCTCATTCTTTGTCTTTCATCTGCAGATTAGCACCTGTTTTTCATGCATGGAAGCACAAAGCAGGAGCTCTCGTTTAATCACGGCTACATGATGCAGCCTCCCATTACCTCGCCACTCAGCGGCTAAACATGTGTTTTCCTGTCATTCCCTGCCACACTCACCCTCCGCTCTCTCTCTCTCTCTCTCTCTCTCTCTCTCTCTCTCTCTCTCTCTCTCTCTCTCTCTCTCTCTCAACAGCTACTCCACGACTCTCTGGAATATTTAGACGAGAACAGGGACACTCCGCTGAAACGAAAATCACCCTACATCCTGAAGAGACAAGCAGGGCAGAGCACCAAGTCCCGGAGGCCGTACATCCTAAAACGGAGCACAATTTACTGACGACATTCCCACAGGACCAGACTGCGTTCCTGCTTTGAAGACGTGACATGCTATTTTTCCTCCATATAGCTTCTATGTTTTATTTTCTGTTCCTGTCCAGCATCGAGGCCTGTCTGTATTCTGCTCCTCTCAGCTAAAAGTCCTGAAAAGAAATCTCCCCGAGCATCGAGCAAAATCATGTATCTCTGAGAAACTATATTTATTTACTCTATTTCTTCACTGCACTCTGAGTCTATTTTGTTTCAGGATATGATTAAAGGATTCATGATACAAAACCAGTGTGATGTCTCTGTGATCTTTTCATTCAGTAAAACTGATCAGCTGATTCAACTGATGCTCAAATGATTCTTTAAAGATCCCATATTATCCTTATTTTAACTTTTCATGATGTCAGTCTGTGAAACCCATGAAGTAGATTTTCAGCTCAAAAGAACTCATCATTAATCGTATACCTAAAAATCCTAATTTCAGCCTCTGCCTGGACCAGTTAAGGTTAGCTTTAAGGCCCCCCTCCCCACATGCCCACTTTCTTCTGATTGGCCGGCGTTCTGGTAGCTGTCGGGGTCAGAACGCTGCAGCGCTGCCAGGGAAGAGCAGCTCTTCAGTGTTTGGAAGATAGTCTATAGGTGTTTTTTGATTTTGCACTGCAGGAACTATGAACTACTTTAGTTCCTAGAACCACATTAAGAGGAACCTTTATAGCTCCTGCTTCAGAGTAGGTACCAGATCGCCTGATTGGCAGGACAGGCCGTTTAGCGCCCTCAGAAGTCATCCTGAGAATGCTCGGACATACGTTTACCTCATGATCTGAATATTTGCCCACGTTGAACGTGGGTATCCAGCAATGTAATACTAAAGGTGAGTTTTAAAATAGTTATCAGCATAATTGGTCAACTTTAAACCCGTCTGGCTGCTATCAAAACTCTAATCTCGGACTGGCATCAAGTGCCATGACAAATTCAGGAAGGAAACAATGACTGACTGCAAATTATGCAGTGTGTCCGTGAGCCAAGCTAGTGATGTAAAAGCGGGTGTGTGACATAATGAAGCATGGGTTGTTGTGGAGTAAAACAGAACAAAGACAAAAATGTGCAGGTGATAGGTAGGAAGAGTCCAGGTAGAGTGAGAGAGAGAGAGAGAGAGAGAGAGAGAGAGAGAGAGAGAGAGCAACAGTATGGTTGGGCTTTTCTACACTGAGAGCATCAGGCCCAGGTGCTCTCAGTCTGGCTGGCTGTTTCCTCTAGGAACAAGGGAGACACAGAACATATGAGCTAAGCCTGCATGTGAGGTAAGGCAGTGACCGTCACAGTACCATACTGCACCATACACCACACTGCAGCATCCTGCAAAGTCATTATCTGCTGCAGAAAATAGTTCACAATACATACAAGATATTTTTCAGGGTAATTTGTGAGAGGCAGCAGCATATTTAGAGAATGTTAGAGATATCCATCCATCTGTTATTTATACCGCTAATCCTCACATTCACACCTATGGGCAATTGAGAGTCACCAATTAACACAGGTTATGACAGGGGCTAAATAGAGGTTTTTTTTGTAAAAGTGCGATGAGTGTACATCAGTACAGTATATGTTGAATGTGTATAGTGAATGATGTGGGCCTTCAGCCATAAAAAGTTTGGAAAGCACTGAATAAACCTAATGAGCATGTGTTTGGACTGTGGGGGGAAGTAAGAGTACTCGAAGAGAAACCACTAGGCACGGGGAGAACATGTAAACTCCACACAGAGAGGCGGCGCAGTCTGATGAGAGTGCCTGCTGTTGAACAGTAGTTAAAAAGAGCACAGAAGCACTTACGCAGATAAAACACACTCTTACTGCTCGTAATGAGAACCTTGGCCTTAATAAAATGGCGTTTTCATCTACTCATCAAAGAGCTTTGGTACCCATCTTTTTCTAACTCAGATATTATCTCTGACAGCAGCCAGAGAGGCTGAATGTGTCGACATCAGAGAGACTTTAAAACGTCCTCTTTCTGTTTCTACAGTGAGGGAAAATGCATTCTCTCTCTCTCTCTCTCTCTCTCTCTCTCTCTCCTTCTCTGCATGTTAGTCTTTAAAAAAACAATTAAAATTCACACAGACACCTGTGCAGGTCAGACCCTCAGTAAATCAAGGTGCAGGTAAGATAACATTGTTTGATTTGAGCCTTTAAAGGACTAGAAAAGGACCTTGATTTGTTCTTGTTGATCGCTTCTGTTTGTTTGCATATTTATTATAAAGCACACTGAATGCATCAGAATTTTATTTATTTTTATTTTAGATATTTTATGAATTTTCTGGTTTACTCTCTGTTACTGAGAGAGACTTGCACTGGAACTTGAACTGGCGACCCTACGGTTACCAACCCAAGTCCCTACCGACTGATCTACTGCCGCCCTAAATGGTTATTTTGTTTAAGCTATAAAACTAGAGTCACAATGGTCAAAAGGTTTGAAATGTTTTGTTAAAAAACAGGATTGTAATGCTGTGATCAATCCTTCAAAACCAGGAGGAAGCTCACTCAGAATTTAATGTCCCTAAAATCGGCACTTTTATAAGTTTGACCCAATATTTGCAAATCAAAATTGACACAAATCATCAAAATCTTACAAATTGCTAAAATATTCCTAAATAGATGCACAGAAAAATAAAACAAATAAAGCCTGTTCCTTTCATTTAACGATAAATGTGTCAGATTTCCCTCACTTTGAATTGAATAGAATAAAGCAAATCATAATGCAGAAGCAGACAGGGAAACTATAAAATTCACTTAAATTAGTTAAAACACATTCATACTAAAAGACTCACAGTGGTTTCAAACAATGCCAGTAGTTTGGATCTCTCTGAGTTACTGAGGTTTTATAAATCTCTGGACACAATGTTCCAGTTACTGTGAAGAAAAGACTCTCCAAGCTCACTGGACGCTGATTTCAGTGGGACTATTATTTTCTTTAAGAAAGGTTTTCAATTCTTTGAGCGCCAGAAAAGAAAATGACATTCACCTTGGTTGTATTGGTGTGAACTCAGACTATCTGCGAGACAGATGTCTTTAAACATCAGCAGATAAAACTCCATCTAGCTAGAGTGATGAGCTACAGAGGTGAATGAAACCTTTAGTTCAGAGCTTTGTCTAGGAGCTGTACTGATTGAATCACTCTTTTAAAGACAATAATGAAAAAGAAAAGGGACCGAAGAATCTAAAAAGAGGCGGAGAAAGCGTGGAGTTCAGGCCCACAAGACACAGTATGAAGAAAAGTGTCAAAACACATTTAATACACAGACTGATCCCTAAAGTAATAACAGGGATAAAGAAAACTATTTGAAAACTGACTGCACTAAATTATTTTGTTGATATTTATCAACTTTTTGTGTTAAAGTTGGGTTGCAAAGCTGATGTTTGAACTTCCCCTTAACAATAACCGTAAGGTGCCTTTGAGTCGTGTAACTACATTAAACGCTCCAGGAGCTCCAGTTGGTTCTAGTTGAACTTGAAAGTGTCAAACTGTTCATGTGTAGCAGGGAAAGGGCAAACTTTGCATAAATAAAGGTTGGAAAAAAATGCTCTCCTTTTAGTCAACAATGCCTGCACTGTACAGCAGAGGGCAGTGTTGTTAAAGAAGTCAGATGGTTGTGATTTACGGTGTGAATGACTGCAGAAACATACAGTTAGGACGCCTTCAGGCAGAAAATAAATGCTGAATCCAAAGAAATCAATTTGAGAGCAAATCTCCCAGAACTAAAAGCTGGATTTTTATAAAATCATTATCCTCTTCTTCATTAACCTCTTGCCTAAAACTTCACCAAACTTGAGCAGTGTGAGAAAAGTTTTCCAGGTTCTGATCACTCGTTGTCCAGCTGGAGGGGGTTTGGGTCAGAACCTGTAACACCCTTGTTCTGGGCGGTAAATCTACTTGTCTTTAATTTAAATTTGGTGGTTTTTAAGACGGTGCTTAACTCTGTTTCTGAATTTAAGAAAAGGTTCTGGATAGGACAGCTGGACAGAGAAAGGAATTGCTGGGAGGAGAGAGTCGGGCAACATAAACAAAGGGCTGAGGTCAGATTCAAAACCCACAGCCACAAGAGGACTATAGCCTCAACGAGGACTAGCCTCTGTAAGTAGGATGCGTGACATAACTAGGCTATCGTGCTCCAACAGTAAGTATTTTTACCCGACATATCCGGGTAACATTATACTTCCACGTTACATCATGCAAAAGTCAGGCCAAAAAACTGTGAAAGATTGATTTTTACCCTGTAGAATTTACCTCAAAAGCAATAATGGCATTTTAGATTTTATATGGTTGTGTTAGAGCTCCCATTAACCACCCTGAGGCACGACTCATTTATCTTTATTGAAAACTGGAAAGTCTTTGAATACTTAAACTGAGCAGTCTAAAATGTCACCTCAACACTCGGAAACTTAAAGCACACAGAAACCGTTCTATTTCCTTCTCTATTCACAGAGTTACTCCTCATTGAGTAAATTTGTCTTTTCTTCACACACATTTGGAAACCTCTGACTCAAGAATAAAATGTCTGAATCACTGGTCAGGGCGACGGATCCCAAAGGCAGTAAATGTTTAAGTGTGCAGCTGGAGAAACTATCCTGCCATTAGGTGAAAAAGTGCTTTAATAACATTTCAACTTCAGAGAAGTTTACATAGATCCTTCTCCTATATCCTCCCTCGCTACCTTCTCTGTTCTCTAAACTAAACCCTTGTTTTGAATGTTGTTCACATCACTGCCAGCAGGTGGTAGCGCTGTACAACTCTACTCCAGACTGTGGCTTTCCATAACTTCATGTGGTGGTTGGATGAAGTTTTATGAAGCTCTGGAGCTTCTTTCTCTCCAGCTGAAAAGATTTGAGTTTGAGGGGTTCAGACTACATCAGATGGTGTTTAAGACTTTGAAGCATACCTTCATGACAGTATGCGTCACCACCACACCTCTCAGGATTTCAGAGTTTGAGTCTCATATATTATCAATACAAGTCAAAGAAGTGTGCATGTCATGAATTGATTATTTCTGTACACATTTTTCAGATGTTCTGCATTGAGTAGATATTATTGTGCAGAATGCTGCTGTAAAATAACTTTTTGTTGTCTAAACAGTATTTATTTATGAGCTTTTGTCTGCACATTTTAAATCAGGCTAACACACAGGGTTGTATCTGTATGTATGCTTTTTGTGGATATGGTATGCTTCTTTCTAAATTCTTTAAATTTCTTGGTTAATATTTATGTCTGGGCGGGCCATATAGCCTAGCAGTGATGTTGC